GTAGTCTGCCTACCGCAAAAGTCCCTCTTCTTCTTCTTCTTCTTCTTCTTCTTCTTCTTTTTTTTTTTTAAACCCTAACCCTAACCCAGAACCCTGAGATCATGACCTGAGCTGAAGGCAGAGGCTTTAACCCACTGAGCCACCCAAGCACCCCCCCCCTTTTTAAAGATTTTATTCTTTTATTTTTATTTTTTTAAAGCCAATTCTTATTTTTTAATTTTTTAAAAAGATTTTATTTATTTATTTGTCAGAGAGAGAGAGCACAAGCAGGGGGAGTGGCTGAAGGAGAAGCTGGCTCCCTGCTGAGCAGGGATCCCTGTGAGGCTGGATTCCGGGACCCTGGGATCATGACCCAGGCTGAAGGCAGCTGCTTTACCGACTGAAACCCCAGATGTCTGAAGATTTTATTTTTAAGTCGTCTCTGCACCCAACGTGGGATCTGAACTTACAACCCCGACATTAAGAGTTGCACAGTCCCCTGACTGAGCTAGCCAGGGGCCCCGTAAACACTTTGATTTAACATATGTTTTATGTTTTTGTAGCACAATGATAATTACATATTGTGAAAATGACATATATTACATGTAAATTATTTGTTTTTTAATAATTTAAAGATATTAATTTTTAATATTTAAATTTTAATAAATTTATTTTAATATATAATATATAATATAATAAATATAAAATTTAATATTTAAAGAATTAAGATACAGCAGGCAGAAGAGAGGGGAAAGCAGGCCCCGCCGAGCAGAGAGCCCGATGCGGGGCTCCATCCCAGGACCCCAAGATCATGACCTGAGTCGAAGCTAGAGGCTTAACCCACTGAGCCACCCAGGCGCCCCTAAAATTATTTGTTAACTTGTGCTCTGTTTTGCTTCTATTAAATCCCAATTTATTCCATTTGGTTTCTGCAAGATCTGACTACATTATGTCTTCTAGATGATGGGGCCTAAGCATTCACTTATTGAAAACATATTTTATAATAAAAATTTGCCCCCCTCAAAATTTGTCCCGTTATTCTTTCTTTTTATTCCAATTAAGGTAACTGTATTGATTCTTTTAAAGTATATGTGAAAGTAAGTCCTTAAAAAAAAAGATTTTATTTATTTGAGAAAGAGAGAGAGAGTACAGCACAGGGAGCTGCAGGCAGATGGGGAAGCAGAGGAGCCTAACATGGGACTCGATCCCAGGACCCTGAGATCAGAGCCGCAGCCAAAGGCAGGCATTTAACCAACTGAGCTACCCAGGTGCTGTATAAGTGAGTCCTCTTATCTTTACATTGATTCCAGCTGAGGAAAGAAGCGTGTGTTAGGAAATATTTGCTGGGGGGGGGGGCGCTCAGGCTGCAGAGCTAAGCTGCCCCTCCCAACTGAGAGTCAGTCGTTCCTGCTGCTGGGGAATTCCCAGGGCAGGTTCATTATGCAGCCTCAGGCCTTGACCGATGCTTTTGGAGAAAAGGATCCAGAGATGCTGCCACACAGCTGGGACATCAGAAGCCAACGTGGGCTTCAACTTGGGATGACCTAAAACAATGGCAACAATTCCGGCTTTTGAAAATAACCAGCACCTGGCACAGAGTGTGGCACACCAGAGGCACTCAGGACATACGTGCTGTGTGTTGTGGGATTCTGGACATGAATCCAGCTTCTACCACTGAGTGGCCACTGGACTTTGGGCAATATATTTTTTTAAGATTTTATTTATTTATTTAACAGACAGAGATCACAAGTAGGCAGAGAGACAGGCTGAGAGAGAGGAAGGGAAGCAGGCTCCCTGCTGAGCAGAGAGCCTGATGCGGGGCTCAATCCCAGAACCCTGGGATCATGCCCTGAGCGGAAGGCAGAGGCTTTAACCCACTGAGTCACCCAGGCGCCCCTGGGCAATTTTTTTTTTTTTAAGATTCTATTTATTTATTTTTCAAAGATTTATTTATTTATTTATTTGACAGATCACAAGTAGGCAGAGAGGCAGGCAGAGAGAGAGAGAGGAGGAAGCAGGCTCCCCACTGAGCAGAGAGCCCCATATGGGGCCAGATCCCAGGACCCTGAGATCACGACCTGAGCGGAAGGCAGAGGCTTAACCCACTGAGCCACGCAGGCGCCCCTACTTTGGGCAATTTAATGACCTTTCAGAGTCTTAAGTTCCTCGTCCTTAAAATGGAGGAAATGGGGGTACCTGGGTGACTCAGTCCGTTAAGTGCCCAACTTGTGATTTTGGCTCAGGTGGTGATCTCGGCGTCATGGGATCAAGCCCCGCATCAGGCTCTCTGGGCTCAGCAGGGAGCCTGCTTGCGGCGCCCCCAACTCTCTCTCTCTCTCTCTCTGTGTCTCTAAAATAATTAAGTAAATAAAATCCAATCAATAAATAACATAAGACGGGGGAAGTTTTAGTATCCGCCTTGTGAGAACAAAACGAGACGGCGAACATGAAGTAGCACAGGGGGCGCCTGGGGGCTCAGTGGGTTGAGCATCTGCCTCCCGCTCAGGACATGATCCCGGGGTCCTGGGATCCAGCCCCACGTCCAGCTCCCTGCTCAGCGGGGGTCTGCTTCCCCCTCTCCGCGCTGCTCCCCCTGCTGGTACTCTCTGTCAAATAAGTAAAATCTTTTTTTTTTTTTTTTTTTTTTTTTTTAAGATTTTATTTATTTGACAGACAGATCACAAGCAGGCAGAGTGGCAGGCAAAGATAGGAGGAAGCAGGCTCCCTGCTGAGCAGAGAGCCCGATGGGAGTCTCGATCCCAGGACCCTGAGATCACGACCTGAGCCGAAGGCAGAGGCTCTAAGAGCCACCCAGGCGCCCCTCAAATAAGTAAAATCTTTTTAAAAACCCATAAAGTAGCACGGAATAAGTACTCCATAAATACGGACTCTTATTATAACCAATATTATTTATTTTTTATTCTTAAATATTTTATTTTATTGTATTAATTTACTTTTCTCTAGCAATCTCTTCACCGGCTTGGGGCTCGAACCCACGACCCCGAGATCGAGACTCACAGGCTCCACTGCCTGGGCCGGGCGGACACCCCCTGCGGGAGAATTTTTACAAAGTGAAGGGTAAGAAGGAGAGACAGGAAACCCGCAAACTCGGCGCGGAAGGACGCGGGGCGGGGCGGGGTGCGGGATGCGGGCAGCGAGGCCCGCGCCGGGCAGCGCTTCCGGGGGGAGCAGGAAGTCCGGGGCAGGCGTGACCCGCTGCCTCGGTCCCTTCCGCGCCGCCGCACCCGCCCCGCCGGCTCGGGCGCCCGCGCAGGTGGCTCGGCCGGGCCTTCGCGGAGCGACGCGGACCTCAGCGAGGCGGGGCCTGGCGCTGCGCGTGCGCGCGGGCGCTCTCCAGCCTGGGAGGGCGAGCGACCCCTCCGCCCCGTAGGTGGGAGGGCGGCCCCGCGGGGAGGGGCGCAGAGACGCGGCCCCTGTCCCCACCGCCGCGCCCCTGCCCCCCGCACCCGGTCGCGCGGCTTCTGAAGAGTCTGTAGAAACGCTCGCAGACTCCGTTCATCCTCGTCGGCCGGAGCCCATGCCCTCTCCGGCCTGCGAGCGGGACCGGGTCACGCCGGGTCGCTGGGCTCCAGGCAGGGAGGAGGTCAGAGAAGGGCTATGGCCGGGCTCTCCGCACGCAGCCTCACTGCGTCTTTGGGGGGCGGCCCTGTTCCCAGGCAAGACTGATGATGTGGGGGGACGACTGGAAAGCTCTGGGTCCAACGAGATCGTGAGCGTCTCTCCCGAACCACTCTGTGGTCAGCGGAAAGCAAGGACGCCGGCCGGCCACACAGACCACGCCGTCGGGCTTCCCACCTCGGGGAGATGGCGGGGCTTGGCCCAGCGCGACTGAGACGGTGACCGAAGGTCGCGCATCCAGTACTTGGTGGAGCTGGGGCTCAACCCAGCTTGCCCCCCAAGGCTGGCCTCGGTGCTCTCCGAACCTAGAAGAAAGAACCGACTGTGCCTGCAGTGTGTCTGGAAAGCCTTCCCTGAAATAATTCAAAAAGCCAAAAGACCCCACAAAGAAGCAGTTCCTGAGCAGCTCCAGGCTCCAGGCGCTGTTTGGCTTACAGATCCGGGAGTGACCCTGGGCGGGAGGGACTGCTCCGTCTCACAGAGGAGCAATTGGCTCCACGCTCCCGCTGTATTGTAGGCATGGTGGTCCCTGGCCACCATCGTGGACAACCCCCTGCTCACGTCCACTGAGGACACAGCTGTGGACACTTTCCGGTTTCTGAACCTCACAACCTCCCTGTTCTGGCGGAAGGAAACCAGTCATGACAGTCCTCATCTGATGACAAAACGTGGCCCAAGAGGCCTGATGCTGGTGACTCCTGCCCTCCAGGTGTGCAGGCCCTCTGCCCAGGGCCCATCCTCCCTGCTCTTCCGCCCCTTCTCCTCCAGGAAGCCTTCCTGGGTCACTCCCACCATGAGCACCTGTCAGCTCATGTTTATCTGTAAGCATCTGCGTAGGCCTCTGACTCCCCCGCCTCTCGAGCCTCTGGAGGGCAAACTGTACCTTAGCCATCTCCCAGCATCCTGGGGCTGAACCTGATTTTATTAGTATCGCCTTTATTGGTATTACTTTACTTTTATTTTTAATTTTTTTCTTTTTTTTCCTTTTTTTCTAAGTAAGCTTGCCCAACATGGGGCTTGAACTCACAACCCCGAGATCGAGAGGTGCACACCCTGCCCACCGAGCCGGCCAGGAGCCCCATCTTTGTTAGGTATTCCTTTTTTTCCTTAAGGATTTTTTTAAATTTTATTTCTCAAGGAAGCAGTTGCCTGCTATGGCTCCCGTCCTCTGGGCTTCGGGCGCCGTGACACCACCGTGCACTCTGCTCTCTGGTCCGGATTCTTCCCGAGGTTGTCATCCACACGTGGCTCCCGCAGTTTCACAGTGAATAATCGCGGACAGCGGGAGGAAGCAAGCCACCCTTCACAAGTATGGTCGCAGTTGCCTCACTTCCGGTGTCACGTGACGCGCCCATAGTTGTCACGTGACCCACTTGCTCCGTTCTGCCGAACTCAAACCTGCAGGACGAATTCCGGGTCTGTAGCTGCGGCTGGGACCTGCATCCCTGTTCTCATTTAGTGGATCCTGCATTCTTCCGAGGCTGGAACCCCACAGCCCCTCACCTGCTGATGGAGTTTTCAAGTCCTCCCAGAGGAGTGAGTGGGCCCCAGCTCCCCATCGGTCTTGTCACGCCACTTCTGGAGTCCTGGCCATCCGGACCCTGGAATTCGGGGAATGAGGGTCTCCTCCAACCCAGGCCATCATGGCTCTTCGATTGAGGAGCAGAGAGAGAGAGGGAGGGAGGGAGGGGTGGAGGGAGAGGTCGTGGAAAGAGGGGAAGAGAAGGGTCCTGGTTGGGGTGGGCGGCAGCCAGGTGTCTGTGTTGGAGGACGGTGGGAGACTAGCCATGGGCATCCAGCCCACAGGAGAGAGCCGGGCGTGGAGAGGGGCTTGCCTCCCAGCCGCTCCTCGTTCTGTTCTCAGGAATGTTCCCGGCCTCTGGACAGGGCGGGTGTCAGGGCTGCCAGCCTCACGGGACTGCTGTTCCTTCAGGTGATATCGTGGGCATCAGGTGAGCGAGTCACGGAGACGGGAGGCAGCCCCCCGGCTCCTCCTGCCTGGTGGTCCTTGGTCGCCTTCTGGCATACCAGAGCACCAGGAGGTGTCGAGTAAACACTTCGGAGGGACTGAGACCAAGCGCGGGTGGGGGTACAGCGAGAGGACTTTTGAAACCAGTGTGTCCCTTCTCTGTCTTCGTCCTGCAGCCCTGGCCTCCGCTTGTGCTCCCTCCCCTCCAGGTGCCCGGCCCTGCAGCCCTAAAAGCTTCGGCTACAGTTCGGTGGTGTGTGTCTGCAACGCCACGTACTGTGACTCTCTTGACCCCCTGACCCTGCCGGCCCCAGGCACCTTCAGCCGCTACGAGAGCACGCGCAGTGGACGCCGGATGGAGCGGAGTCTGGGGGCCATCCAGGCCAACCGCACGGGCACAGGTGACCAGGACAGGCTGGGGTCCCCCCAGAGCTGTCATGCCGGTGACCGCCACGGCCTTCTTCCTTGGGCACTGAGACCCTTCGTTCCCTGTGCGTGTTCTCAGGGCTTCTGCTGACCCTGCAGCCAGGCCAGAGGTTCCAGAAAGTGAAGGGGTTTGGAGGGGCCATGACAGACGCTGCTGCCCTCAACATCCTCGCCCTGTCCCCCCCTGCCCGGAACTTGCTGCTCAAATCTTATTTCTCTGAAGAAGGTGAGCAGGAGGGGGACGAGATGAGAATGTGGTGGACCCTTCGACCTTTCCATTGACCACGACTTCCACCCATTCCACACGTGGGTCCTCTCTCAGTGCCCCGTGGAGCAAGTGTCCGACCTGCCTGTCCTTGAGTGTTTAGGGATGCCAAGGCTCAGAAGCCCGGGCTCCCCTGGGCCTGCCTCGGACGTCACTGAGGGCTGAGGGTAGGCCGGGTCACACACTCTCCTGCCGACCTGGACCCTCCTGTCTTGGCCTTGGCTTCGTGCAGGCATCGAGTACAACATCATCAGGGTCCCCATGGCCAGCTGTGACTTCTCCGTCCGCACCTACACGTACGACGACACCCCTGATGACTTCCAGTTACGAGACTTCAGCCTCCCCGAGGAGGACGTCAAGCTCAAGGTGGGCTCCCTGCCCTGGTGGAGTCAATGTCTGCTGGCTGCGGAGCAGCAGGCCAGAGCAGGGCACGGAGAGACAGAGCCTGGCCCCTGCTGTGCTGTGTCCTGGGGTGGGGGGGCAGGGCGGGGGCCCATGGCAAGGCCTGATGCACTGGTCGGGCCAGTCTGTCCATATTCCAGCTCTCACGGTCTCTCTCCTCACCTGCACTGTCTCCAGATACCCCTGATTCACCAAGCTCTGGCGCTGGCCCAGCGCCCCGTGTCACTGTTTGCCAGTCCCTGGACGTCACCCACGTGGCTGAAGACCAATGGGGCCGTGAATGGGAAGGGGTCGCTCAAGGGTCAGCCTGGGGATATCTACCACCAGACCTGGGCCAGATACTTTGTGAAGTAAGGAAGCCGCAAGGCCATAGGGTCTGGACCAGCTCCCCTCTTGGACACCCTCGTCTCTGCCCCACTCCTGGACCTGGGTCACCCCCAGCTTGGACTGCTCAGATCACTTTTCTACCTCCTGGGCCTTTCAGACTTGGCCTGTCCGTTTCCCCCGTCTTGATGGGCCTCCTGATCCCCCAGGGTCTTGGTCCCCTTTCTTGGCCAGGCTCACTCGTGCCCTTTCCCCTGCCAGGTTCCTGGATGTCTATGCAGAGCACAAGCTACACTTCTGGGCAGTGACGGCAGAAAATGAGCCTTCGGCAGGGCTGCTCAGCGGGTACCCCTTCCAGTGCCTGGGTTTCACACCCGAGCACCAGCGAGACTTCATCGCCCGGGACCTGGGTCCCGCCCTTGCCAACAGTACGCACCGCGACACCCGTCTGCTCATCCTGGATGACCAGCGCTTGCTCCTGCCCCACTGGGCCCAGGTGGTAAGGTCCAGCGCCCCCCGCGGTGTCCCGGTGGTCCCCAAATCTAGCATCCAGGTGGCTGGCCCCGAGTGTCTTCCCTGCTCCAGCTCTCGATTCCTAGAATTCCCTGGGCTGGAGCTAGGCACCCCAGAGGCTCCCCTGGGGTGCTGACCCCCCAGATCCCAGGGCTCCAGGGTTGTCACCTGGAGCCCCTCTAGTCGCCTGCATCCCACTGCCCATTTCTCAGGTCCCCAGTGCTGCTTCCAGAACCCTCCATGCAGGGCCCAGATTCAGTGGCCGCTCTCCCCAGGAGTCTTTGCCCTTCCTGGCATAGGTGCTGGCGGACCCAGAGGCAGCTAAGTACGTGCACGGTGTGGCCGTGCACTGGTACCTGGACTTCCTGGCCCCAGCCAAGGCCACCTTGGGGGAGACACACCGCCTCTTCCCCGACATCATGCTTTTCGCCTCGGAGGCCTGTGTGGGCTCCAAGTTCTGGGAGCAGAGTGTGCGCCTGGGCTCTTGGGACCGGGGAGTACAATACAGTCACAGCATCATCACGGTGAGCCCCCAGGACCCTGCCGGGCACACACCACAGGCTCTCTTGGTCGTATGGAGGAAAGGCCTCTGAGCCAACTATCCCCCGCTGGCTTGCTCTTTGGGGCAAATTTTGGGTTCTCGTGATTCCCTGTCGTGCCTTCCCTCCCAGACAGGCACACTCCATTACTGCTCCTCCTCACGCCCAGGTCTCGGGTGGTCCTATCTGCCTCAGCTTCTCAGCTTTTCATCCCATGCCTCCATCCCCAGCACCCTGCCCTCCCGAGCTGTGAGGGTGCAGAGCACCCCTCCTTGGCCTGGGACACCCCCATCTGTCTTCCTCATGCGACCCTTCAGGACATGGTCTGGGGACCCCGTGTGGAGCCTTTGTTTCTGCCCCGCTCCCACCCCAGAACCTCCTGTACCACGTGGCCGGCTGGACCGACTGGAACCTTGCCCTGAACCCAGAAGGGGGGCCCAACTGGGTGCGCAACTTTGTGGACAGTCCCATCATCGTCGACATCGCCAAGGACACGTTTTACAAACAGCCCATGTTCTATCATCTCGGCCACTTTAGGTGAGGGGAAGGTGGCCCCATGTCCCAGGCAACCACCCCAGGCAGGAAAGGAGCAGGGCGGGAAGTGAGCGCGCAGCTTCAGCCCTGGCTCTGGGGGTGTGCGGGGGAAGAGTGACTTCTCAGCAAGGGGGAGTGGCCCCACCTGACCATGCCTGCTCCCACCTCAGCAAGTTCATCCCCGAGGGCTCCCAGAGAGTGGGGCTGCTGGCCAGCCAGAAGAACAGCCTGGATGTAGTGGCGCTGACCCGTCCCGATGGCTCTGCGGTTGTGGTGGTGCTGAACCGGTGAGAGCAGTGGGGCCAGGGGCCAGGGGCAGGGGGCCAGACGGTGGCCTTGGCAGGCTGAGTGCTCAGCTTCTCTGCCCTTCCTTTGCCAGCTCCCCAAAGGATGTGCCTCTCACCATCGAGGACCCTGGCGTGGGCTTCGTGGAGACGCTGTCCCCGGGCCACTCCATCCACACCTACCTGTGGAGCCGCCCATGACAGAGCCTGGGTGTGGGCATTAAAGGGGTACAGCCAGCTCACACACTGTCGGTGGCTGAGAGGACCTAGGCGGGCCGGGCCGAGCATAGGTGACGTAAGCCCGGAGCAGTGGTTTGGGTGACTCACTCTCCCCATGGCCGATGCCTGGGGGGGCCCCTCGGGGAGGACAGGGAAGCCCCAGCGCCCTCCACCCCCGCCACGCACTGTGTGCCGGCTCCACGGAAACTGGGCCGGGGCCCAGAGTGAGCTCACCGTCTGTGCAAACACAGGCTGGGACTGGGGGGGTGGCTGGGGAGGGGAGGAGATGGGGAGGGCCGGGCCCCACGCCACCGCCTACACGCCAGCTAGGGAAGATGGTGGCCCCATCACCAAGAGAGGGTCTGATTCCGGTCAGTGTGGTTTATTGTGGGAGGGGCACCCCCACTTCTAGCCCTGCCGAGGACGGGGCCTCTGGAATGTACGACAGTAGAAAAGTCAGTCCCGGGGTCGGGGGGCAGGTGTGAGGACAGGTCACTCCTCCTCATCCTCCTCAGCCATGCTCAGGGACCGTGTGCCTGGGGCCCGAGCAGGTGTCGCCCGCTGGATGGAGACGATGCCACTGAGCAGGGCGTAGCCCGCCATGGCCGCCAGGCCCGCCAGCACGGACAGGATCTGGTTCCGCCGCCGGTTGGGCTCCTCCTCCGTGTCCGGGCCCGCAGGCGTCGGGCGGGGGGGCGGCACCTCAGCTGAGGACCGGGGAAGGAAGATGGGCACGGGGGCTCATCCTGGACCCCTGCCCACCTTCCCGGGGAGGCCGCTGCGCGCCCCTCACCTCCATCCCAGGGGAAGTAGAGGCTGAGGATGTGGGTGCAGTAGGCGCAGAGGTTCTGCAGCCCCCGCAGGTGGGCCTGCAGCTTTCCATTGGGCAGCTGAGCCTGGAGCAGCAGCGCCAAGTAGCCGAACACAAAGGCGTCCAGGGAGGCAGGGCTGGAGCCAAGAGAAGGGCCGGAGGAGAGAGACTGAGGCAGAAGGGGCGGGGACAGAGGGGGAGGGACAGCCGGCCCCCGGACGTGGGCTCTGGTAGCAGAGGGCCCCCAGGGGAGGAGCGGACACCCGGTTCTGGGGCTGGCTCCGGACCTGGCTTGGGGAGGGCTCCCCGGGTGGCGCCAGCCCGGCCCTGAATGGGACTCTATCCCGGGGCTGCATAAAGGGCACATTGAGCGCCCCGCAGCCCCGCGGCCCCCTCCCCCCAAGGCCTGGCAGCCCTCCCACCTCACACACAGCCCCACTGTCATCAGGCCCAGTGTCTGTCCCTAGGACCTCCTGTCGGGCGCCTGGGCCACCCCAGTCCCTGTGGCGACATCGGAACCCGTATCCCCTCCCAAACCCTCTCCCTTCCCCCGGGGACAGACTCACGCGTCTCCGAAGAAGAACTTCTGGGCGCCCAGGCGTTGCGAGAGCAGGGTCAGGCACTCCCGGGCCTCGTGGTACAGCTGGAGGGGGCACACGGGCGGGCTCGTGGCCGCGGGACGGAGCCGCCACCCGTGCTGGGCTGCCCCCCACCTTCTTGACCATCGTCTTTGGGGCTCCTGGCCGGCAGCAGCCCCCCGCCCCAGACGTACCTCCTTCTCCAGCTCTTCCTCGTTCTCGGGCCGGTGCTCCCCGCACAGCAGCTGCAGCCGCTCCACGAACTGCCGCTGCATGCGGCCGGGAAGGAAGAAGTTCAGGGGAAAGGGCGTGGCCTCCGCGTACCACTTCCGGGTCACCTCCACGTAGTTCTTGGTGTCCACCCAGAAAGTGTGTATCTGGATTGGGGAGGCAGAAGGATGAAGCTGGTCTGAGCCAGTGCAGCTGCCTGACTTAGGGTGGGCTTCTGGGCTGCCCCCAGGCTCCGTGTGCCTGCGTGCGTGTCCCTGACACCCCCCAGCCCCCCCCACCTTACTGGCCACAGATGCTGGGAGGTCTGGGCGCACTCACCAGCACGGGGAGCAGCTTCTCCTCCAGCAGAGACATGAAGGCCAAGGTGTCCGCCCCTTGCCGGGCCGACAGGTCATAATCAGCATTGTACTTCTGCGGATGAGATGCCCGTGAGCTGGACACCAGGAGGCTCCAGGGCACGTCCCCAAGGAGTGAGGCATCCTGCCTGGGACCACCCTCACGGCCTCTGAGTGGAGCAGAGCTAGAGCAAGCAGCTTTTCCCGCTGAGGCCCCCTTGCCCGGCCTGGCCAGGAGCCTGTTGCTGTTGGCGGAAAGCCTGGGCCTCAAAGCCTGCTGGCCATCAAGGTCGGGCGCCCACTGCGGGGAGAAAGGCAGGCCCAGCCACAAACCAGGAGCAGCTCCCGGAGCCTCCATGGAAAGCTGGCAGCTCGCCTGCTGACGGCAGCTTTCGGGCAGGAACTTCCGCAGCCCAGGTACCGCAGGGCTGGCACAGCAGAGCTCAGAGGCCGTGCGGGCCTCCGTCCATGCCTCAGGAACTAGGGGACGCTATCTTCAGCCCCAGACCCCCTAGCTTGTTCTCTCATTGCCCGGGGCTATTTCTTCTATCTCATTCTGTGGCCCGGGCGCCACCACAAATGTCTAACAACACCCCACGTGTACTCAGCCTGCCACACACTGCTGCAGGCTCCAGCGTCTGGTCCTCAGCAACACTTTCCACATCCTGAGCAAGTTTTGTCCCCACATAACCTCTGGAACATGATCCTCAAAAAAATGCCCCCGAACTTCTCTGAGCCTCAGTTTCTCCCTTGTAGACTCTTCTCTCAATATGGCTGTGTTAGGAGAACACTCTGGAAACCGGAAAAGCTGTGTTCATTCATAAGGACTCAGGGTGGTGGTCCAGTCCCTGCCCGGAACTTTGCCTTCTACCTGGTTCCCCTCTCTCCATGCCTCCCAAGCCTCCACGGAATTCCCCAGCTCCTTCACCTTTGGGAAAGCAGAAATGAAGAGGAGGGCGCTACTTCGCACTACTTCTGACAAGTGTAGAGGAGCCACTGGAAAACATTCTGCCTAAGCCCCCTCCTTTATGAACAAAGAACTTATAGACCTGAAAGAGGAAGGAACTTGCCCAAGGTCACACAGTCAAGGACAGAGGGAAGAGCACACTCAAGGTATCTCTATTCCTCTTGTAATACTCCCTCAACTTCCCCGTGCTGGCTTGAAGTCTTGTCCATCCCAAGCCCCATATCCAGCCCAACCTGGTCCTGTGAGAAGGACAAGGAGCCACCTCTCAGGGCCTCATCTGAGCCACCCGCCTTTCTCTTCCCTGTGTCATCAGCCTGTTTGCCTCTCCCTCCCTGCCCAGCAGGCAAAAGGCACTGTGCCTTCGGATGTATCCCCGGCGCCCCTGTTTCATGCCCGGCCTAGTGCTTTACTGCACTCAGCAGCTCTGGGTGTGTCTCCCCCATTGGACAACGTGCTCCTTGAAGCTTTGGGTCCCCTGCCTCTAGCCTGGCACTTCTCAATAAAGGTGTGTTGCACTGAAATGACTGAGCTGCTCTCACTGGCAGCCCCCCTACCCGAGCCACCTACCTCTTTCCGAAGGTGGGTGATGATCTTGTGTGGTACCGAGATGACCTCTCCATGACTGGTCCGGAGGGCAGGCAGAGTTCCTGACGTTGAGAAAAAAGGACGCCCACCAAACCCTTAGCTGCTTTCCCATACGGACTTGCACCACATTCCTGTCTGCCTCCTGCTCCACCCTTCCTCACCCCCAGGAACACGGGGTACCTGAAGGGCTCTGCCAGGGGTTGGTGATCTTGTGCACCTTGAGTGGGGCACCCGTGAATCTGGCATAGGTCTGCAGGGAAGGAAGCAGAAGGCAGAGAGGCCCCAACAGGGGAATCAGGAAGACAGAGAACATTTATTGAGTTCCTTTCCTGCTAGGCTTTGTACTTGCCTCACAAAAGAAGAGGTGGACATTACAGCTGCCCCTTTCACAATGGGCAACACAGGGCTGAGAGAGATGGTGAACAGGTCTGCCAGTCAAAGCCTCCCCCGTCTCCTCTCCTGCCATCTGGTTGATGTACACAGAGCCTCCTAAGTTCTTCCTAACCGTGTATTCCTTTCCTTGGAAGCACTGACCATGTCCTTCTCTAGGAGTCTCTGTGGCCTGCTCCTCCTTAAGCCTTAATACCTGAACACGTTGGCTTTACTTGCGAACGTGTCTGCCTTTCTCTGAACAACCACACGGGAGGAACCAAGTCATATTCGTCTTTGCATGCCAATGGGTGGTTTTGGAAGCGGCCTGATCCTGCTTATTAAAGGAAGGGGTGAATGAATGAGGCGAACGAGTCTTTCTGACCGGAAAGCTCTTTCCACAGAGCCTGGCGGCAATACATAAACCAGGAAATGCTGTTTAGTGAGCAGGAGGGGGAGGAGGAGGGGACAGGAATGCCGAGCCTGAGAGCCCTGAGGTCGTCCAGGCTCAGTAAACCTCCCGATGAAGAAACAGCGCTCAGAGACGAGAAGGGATCGCCCCAAGGTCACACAGCCAGTAAATGGGTGTGCAAGGACTAACACCCATTTCCTGAACCCCCGACCAAGCCTCTTGCTGTGGCTGCACAAAACCTAGGCTGTCAGGCCATTGGGCACTGAGCCCATGTGCGCCAGGCGCGCGCGCGCGCACACACACACACACACACACACACACACACAAATCTTAAATTGCCTCAGTTTCCCCCAGTGCTCCCGGGCGGAGGCGCCCTAGCGAAATTCGGACGATCGGCCAGTTCGGCTCCCGCCCCAGTGCTCCAGAGCGCAACAGAGAGCAATGGCGCCACCCCTCACCAGCACGGCCAGGCTGTCCAGGTCCACTGACGGCAGCCCCCAGCCCCCCGACCAGCAGAACAGCTCCATGGGCGCCGCCATCTTGCCCGCCCTCTGTCCCGGAAGCACCACCCCCCGCGCTTCCGCCCGCCCCTCCCCTCGGGCCGCCCGAGGCGGGGGCCGGAGCGAGCTGCGCGACGAGGCGGGGCGAGGCGGGGCGGGGCGGGGCGGGGCGGGGCCGAGGGCTTCGGGGGAGGGCGGCCGCCGCCGGCTCCAGAGGCGGGTCCCGAAGGGGGGAAGGGTTCTCGGCGGGCCCGCGCGGAGGCTGGGCGGCCTGGCTGCGGGGAGCCCCGGACCCCCGACGGCGCGACGGGTCCTGGAGGCGCGGGTCTTGGGCGCCTGCTCCGGGCTTTCTCGCAGCCGTGCACGCGGCCCGGGCTGTGCCAGGGCCCCGCGGGGCTCGGCCCGGAGCAGGGGCCGCGGGGGGGGGGTCCCCCGAGCCGCATGTTTTCCACAGCGCGTTATGTTTGGAGCCGGCCCCGCGCCGCCTGTCGCCATGGAAACAAAACAGGGGCGGCGGCGTCCGGAGCCGGGTCGGGCTGGGGCCTGGGTGGGGGAGGGGGTGGGGCTCGCGGGCCGTTGCCGTGGTAACGGGAACGGAGGCGCCCCTCCGCTTGGTCCGGGTCACGGCCTGCCCACCAGTACCCGTCCCCCCCCCCCCCCCAGTCTTCCCAGTCTGGCCCCGGCCCCTGGCCTGTACCCTGGTTTACTCCTGGCCCCGCTGGCTCTTTGCTCGTTCCTGATTCCTTCCCTCGACCCGTTCGCTGACCGCTGTGTCGGACGGGCCCTCCAGCTCCCAGCGGAGGCCTTCACGTTTTCCCAGGACGGAGGCACGTGTCAGGGGACCCCCACCAGTAAAGAGCACTTGCTTCGTCGGGGCAGCAAAGTTCAGGCCATGTGGGCATCCCCTGGGCACAATAGCGAGCTAGTTTCCACCACTCCCTTGGCATCCCTTCCTGCCAAGCTGTGGGATAATGCGCACTGCCTGGCACTGCCCCTGCCAGGGGTTCCTGCCTTCTGCGACCGCGACGTACAGAAAACAGTAGCATTCGGTAGTGGCCCCCCGCAGCGAGAGGGCAGGAGGGAGGGAGGCACCTGGGAGAGAGGACCGTTAGGGAGAGGCAGGAGGCAGTAAGGCCTTCAGACTCTTCCCCAGGGCCCTGGATCACGGAGCTGGGGATGCCTCCAGGCTGATTGGCGGCTCTTTGTTTCAGCCCCCCCTCACCCGCCTGCTGCCCCCCCCTTCAACTCCCCCTTCCAGTCCCTCCGCCCCCCGCTCCTGCTCTCTCCGCCTAGCCTTTTCCCCTCCCAGCCGCCTGCCTGCCAGGGGTAGTGAGCCAGCTGAGCGGCATGGAGACGCAGAAACTTCGGGGGGGCCCTGGCTCTTCTCCTCCTTTGCACTTTGGCATCTGCCAGTCAGGACCTGCAGGGTAAGCCTGTCTCCATCCTCTTCCACCCCTCTTGCCCTCCCCTTGTTTGCCCTCAGCCTAGTAGCAGGAAACATGTGGGCAAGGGGAGAGTCCCGAAATGGAACAGGAGGGAAGAGTCCGTGAAATTGTGGCCATCAGGGAAGCAGTGAACACCAGAGGGTAGTGGGTGAGCAGGAACTGGCCAGAGTCAGCCTGAGGCCAGGTCAGAGAGCTCAGGAGCTGCATGCTAGGGCTGCCCGGGCTGGGTTGGTGTCTGAGCTTCCGCAGGGACCCCAGGGTCCAGGAGACCAGGGCAAAGGTGGGCTTCTCCATCCCCGGGGCTGCCGGCTGCCCCAAGACAGGGTGGGGGTGGGGACCGAGAGGTCTGGGCTCTCCCGGAGGTCTGGCTGTGGGATGGGCCTGCGGGTGTGGGAGAGGTAGCTGGAGCAGATGACAGAGGCACAGATTCATTACTGGCTGGAAGGGAAACCACAGATTGGCCAGGACACAGGAGGCAGAGGAGCCGGGTCCCACATTCCCGTGGGAGAGAGGCAGACAGCAGGAGGGTCAGAGCCCTCAGTGGGCAGCTCTCCTCGTCCAGCGTGCGTGCACGGAGCCCCCGGGGGCGGGGAGGAGGGGCGTTTGGGTGTGGGATGAGCCAAACCCAGCCGCCTAAAGAGAAACTGCTTTTCCATTTCTGCGCTGTGGGCACCAGGTGCTGCTTCTGCGTGCGATCAGCACAGTGGCTCCCTTGCGCCACCTGGTGGGCGCATCTCAAGTGGGCCGGGCGCTGGTTCTGTTTCCAAGAGAGCCTCAGGCCCTTCAGGTTCCCAGAGGGTGGCCCTCAGCAATGTTGAGGGAAAGGAAGCACAGCGCCTTGTCTTCTGATAGCGACCAGGGTTGAATTTCAGGAAGGTGACTAACGCTGCCCCCTGGGAGCGGGGGTGGGGGAAGAGATGAAGGATGCTCCCCCCCCCCCCCCCCCCCCCCCCCCCCCCCCCCCCCCCCCC